AAGGCACACAACAACAACAAAATGAAGAAAAATTGATTGTGGAATATTTCTCAAGGCAAGTTGTGCATAACACATGTTTTGAGTATTTACATATTGTATGTATTGTAATTGTTTTTAATTGCTCCACCTAAAAACAAAAAATCAGATATCTTTTTTAAAAAAACTTGCAAAAACTTTCTCACTAACTTCAAAATTTTCAGAAATGTCACAATGCTAGTTGTGACCCTTTCTGAATAATTGCTGAATGGTAGCATAGAGTTATGCATATCCCAGTGATTCAATGGGTTTCCTCTTGTTGGGAGTAACAAATGTATTTATGCCTTTAAGTGCTGCAGAATTTATCCTACAGTTTTCTCCGGTGTTAGACCCTGCTTTAATTAATTAATTAGTTATTTAAAGTTGCTTTTATTATTATTAAATCATCATCATCATCATCATCATCATCATCATTATCACCACCACTTATTTTACTTCTCCTGAAAGAATTTTATTACTTCAGGGGCTTGTCCCACTGAAATCAACAGGATTCTAGCTAATCATGACAGATTTTTCAAACTGAATTGTTTGGGGTTTTCATATGACCAACTTTCTCAGGAGTTAGTCCACTATAATCTCATAGAGAGCATATAAAGAATTGTGTCCTGGTTCTTGACATATCCAGACACCCTGCTGACAAAATGGGCAACAACAATTAGGTGGCTTCCACCCCCTTCCATTGCAGATCTTTTTGCAAAAAAATTAGTTGGCACAAGGGGGGGAAACCTCTGGTTTACTTGTCCAAACACACACACAAAAAAAGTCTGCACAAACTGATAAGGTATTTTTTTAACAAAATCATGCAAAAATGTGATCAAACCATTAACAATATGCAAAGAAATCTCATAATCATACTTGTGGGGAAAATATATTCATTATTGTAATGGAAAACAAAATAAGTGAAGATTTGCATCTCCATTATCACATTGACTTCAATCAAACTTCATTATAACTTTACTTAGGGGAGTTGCAGACTGCCAGAAATAGTGCAAATTGAGCCCACTTTTAGGGTTAGGGAATCATGGGAACTGTATTTTATTGTGGCATCAGAGCTCTCTGACAGAGAAGGCTCAATGCCCCAAGAAAAAAACAATGCCCATGATTCCCTAGCACTAACCCTAACCCTAAAAGTGGACTCAATTTGCACTATTTCTGGCAGTCTGCAACCCCCCTTAGAAGATGTCCACATTGCATAGTTATAGCAGTTTACTACATTAATTGTCATGGTTCAATCGTATGAAATCCTAGGAATTGTAGCTTGGTGAGGAACTTGGAATTCTCTAATACATTCTGTATTAGAATTTGCTTGCTGATTGAAATCTTTGGACAAACTAGAAAACCCAGGATTTCATAGGCAGGTGCCATGACACTTGAAATGACACCAAAGTGCTTTTAATGGTATACTGCCAATACACTTTGAGTCTGGATCCAGACAGTTACATAATTCTGATGCCCACCACAACTTTTTCAGCATTTCTAGTTCCTATATTTCATCTCAAAACCTTGCTAACAAAAAATAAATAAATAAGTGATTTGGTGGGTGAATCAGGTGTGGTGACACTTTTCCCAAAGATAGAGAGAAGATGAGAAATGTTTGCTTAGAAGTTGTGAGAATATCTCTTTGCAAAAGTACTGTAAGCTTCATAGGAAGCTTGTGAAGCAGACATGAATTCTTCACCCACCTGCACTGGGGGATGACAATCTGTCAAATTTGGACAATGTGAAGAAATGAGCTGCATTATAAATGCATCTTATCCAACCTGCCAAATATCCCAGAAATAACATGTTTAAACAATTTAAGAGAATGCCAGTTCTGTATCAGAACACATGGGTTTTGAATCGCAATTAAACCATTAGAAAAGTTGTTGATAAAATGTTTTGATGATGAATATACAGCTTACAGTCCATGAAGTCAAGTCACCAAGACATCCAGATCTTCATGCAAGCTTTCTTTTATTGCAAAATCAGCATGAGCAAAAATAATAATAATAATAACAACAATAGCATCTTCACTTTAGCTAAAAAATGGCTAAGCAAGAACAAAGCTTATCTGCTACATGATTCAAAGTTAATTAAGCTGCAGCA